AGATTAATCTCTTAGTTACAACTTCAATGTGAGGTAATGTTAAAGAGAACTGAAACTGTCCTTGGAAGGTTGCCGAGAGCGTGAACAGTTAGATCGTAATTAATGTGAATGGTAGAATTCTCTTCTTCAAATGCATTTCTCAGTGGGAACTCGCATGAGAACAGAAGGATGATTATTCGTCCATTTTTGTAAATTAAAGCCGCCCGCCATGCAGAGTTGTATCAGTTGATCGATAATTTCTTGTACTTGTTCAACAGAATCTGCGCCACCAAAAATGTCGTCGACATATCTTCCCCTTTCCAGTATTGGTACAGCCAAAGGGTATTTGAATCCCTCGTCCTTTAGTTGTAGAAAGACTCTCATTGCGATATAAGGAGCACATACCAAACCATATGTTACTGTGGTAAGCTCGTAGGTGAGGAGTCCCTTGTCTGGATCAATCCACAAAATATGTTGAAAGGCCCAATGGTCTGGATAGACTTTTATTTGTCTGAATATCTTTTCGACATCAGTGGAAAACATGTAACGGAACATTCGAAACCATATCAGAACATCAAATAAGTCGGTTTGTAATTTTTTCCCCAGTGTGAAGAAGATCGTTTAATGAATATCCTGAAGAGGTAAGACTGGAACCATTGAAGACGACTCTTAATTTAGTACTCTGCTCTCTTAAAACTCCATGATGAGGTAGATAACAACAATGTACAGGAGATGGTTTATCGTCTGATATCAACTGCATATGTTTCAAACTTTCGTATTCCTTTAAAAATTCGACGAGCGTAATCGGAATTAGTTTCGAGTTGATGTGTCAATCTCGTAGCTAGTCGTAGTGCCTTGATGAAGTTTGATGATATATCGCCCTTGATTGTCTCTGAGTAGCTTTGAAGTGATTTTCACATTCCTTGTCACTTACTGTGAGAGGTCTTTGTCAACGGAAATTCTTCTAGAATTCAAAATTTGTGTAATATATCATGAAGTTCTTTGTCCAGAGTGATATAAAATCTTTGTGATCTTCTAATCATTAATGGGTCCTGAAATAATCCATCTAAGCTTTGTTTGTTGAGCGATGGGAGCGTTAGCAGAACCTTTAATTATTCCTTCTTCTAAGATTTGACTGTAGGCATTTACACAGTCCTAGTATATCTATCGACCCAAGAATGTTGTAATTGAGATCTGCTAGTTCTAAGTTGTTAAGATGATTCCATGAGGATTGGCTGCCACAGATGGAATAGATAATGTGAGTTTTGATAATATATGTACTGAAATAGTAAGTCTATAATTGAATGCGAAATGGGTAGTCAACGTGATGGATGTTAGTCCTGGTTGATTTCTGCTCCAATTCCCACTAGAGAGAGAATTGATGGTGTACGGGGCAGACGTAACCTTTGTGTGAGACGTTCAGTTACTAATGATATCTCAGATCCTTGATTCAAGAGCACTCTTACATTGTAGGTTTCTCTTGAAGATGTGATAATTTTGATTAAAACGGTTACAAGTAAAACGTTAGGCGAACTGGGAATATGCTCAACTGAAGAATGCAAGACCTTTGTGTTTGACAATGCGGAGGTGGATACAGTCGATTCTGTTCGCGAAGATTTAATCATATTTCGAGAATTCGATGCCTGATGAATCGTGGTATGATGTTTTGAAGCGCACTTTTGACGTCTAGTACTTTTACATTGACCAAGGCGGTGCAAACCTAAACAATTGTAGCAGAGTTTGTGCTTTTTTACAAATTCCAGTCGCTGTTGTATTGACTGATTTGTATACTGTGGACATGACATAGTATAATGATTTCCCGAGCAAATATGACATTGTTTTTGCGTTATAGAATTGCTGTCCTTTGACTTGCCGTAATAATGAGCTTTCGCTGAACTCTTTGGTTGAGGACCAAAATTTACAGCTCTAGATATTTCGTAAGCTTTCAGAAATAATAAACATGTTACAAGAAAATTATTGAAATCAGTCCAAGATGGAAGCTCCTTGGATGAGCCAAAATGTTGTTCCCAAGCTTTAATGGACTCCGAGTCAAGACGTTGTACAATTATAAAGATAAGGAAGTCATCCCAAGATGAAACTGGACGATTCAAATTTTCAAACATTCTATAAATTTGCGTAATCTGTGTATACAGTCTTTCTAGTTCGTTAGCTGATTCTCTAGTTATACGTTTCAATGAAAGTAATGACTGTAATGTTGCATTAACTAATCGTTTCTTTTCATAATATGAGATTAAGGCTTCTCATGCTTTTTGAAAATTATCTGTTGATAATGTAGTATTTTTTAACAGAAGAACAGCAAGTCCAAGAAGACTTGTTTTTAAATACTGAAGCTTTTCTATCGGAGATAACATAATATTGTCTATGACAAGCGAACTAAATAAATCTTTAAATGATAGCCAGTCAGATAATGTTCCATTAAATTTAGGAAGGTCAATACGTGGGAGCTGTGCATGATGGAAAAGAATCGATAACCTGACGAGGGGAATGAAGTTGGATGTTGAAGAACTTGGGATGCCTCCTTGATCTTGATCAAACAATGCGTTCAATTTTTCGATCGACATAATATTCATGTGTCGCGATAAATAGGTTATTTGTAAAATAAAGATGATCCTGAATAATTGACTTATCGTCTGAAGACAATTCGTTGATCGCTTTCGTGATTGCTCTATGTTCCAGAGAAAATTGTTCCCAGTCATCCTCAAGAATGGAGAGTCGTGCATGTATTTCTTGTGAGGTTAGGTTAATCACGCCATTCTTCGTAAAATTACAATAAGCATGAGCTATGACATCTGATAAAGCGAACTGTTGTTCAACTGACTATAAATGTGACTAAGCCTCATCCTTTCTCGTCGCTCACCGTATCCGGCTCGAAGGACCAAATATTTAATTTTTATTGATCTGTGAAATAAAATGCACAAACTTATAATAAAACTTATATGAACGCAAGGAAGGATACAAGTTTCTAAAACAGGAATACGTTATATAATTCACATTCTATGAATAATATTTACTGGATAGTCGATTATGAAAGATAACCTAGATGTATAACCTTATCATAATGCAAAGCCTAATATATGTAGCAATATAATTAGCGAGTAGCATCCTCGATGATGTACTTGGAGGGAGGATTACTGTACCGAATATGTATGTAATGAGCAATCAGTATCCTCGATAATTTGCTTGAAAGGAGGATTACTATACTTATGTGTACAATGAGTGATTAGTATCCTCGATGATTTGTTTGAAAGGGAGGATTACTATTGCTATGTGCTATCCGAGGTGCCACGAGGGCCTTGAGTATGTTTGCATCGAAAATGTGCTCGTAAGGCACGGATCTTGCATGAGGTTACTTTATTGTGGCCACGTAAAGATTGTATCATTCGACGCTGTACAATCTCTCATAAAAAGAAAGAAAGCCTTTCAGATTGAAACGTTTTGCATTCGCTACAGCATAATATAAAAGCAAGCTAACAAAGCACAACAAAAAGGAGAAAAAGGAGGAGCACTCGAAGGAGAACTAACGCATGCATACAGACAAAGAGAAGCGGAATGGAAGTGCTTGCAACGCCGTTCAGTTCCGCCCACTGCTACCAATTCCCTTCGTGCAGGGAGAGATTTTGAACGGTAAATTTGAACAGGAGGTTACCTTGAAATTTCAAAAATATGAAAAAATTTTTTGCTCATCATGATATGTACTCCTTCGCATCGGACAACTTTCTCCTTTGGTATTTTCTCGTATCGTTAAAAAGAACGAAGATATTTGAGATGATCAAGAGGAGTACACATATATATATATATATATACACATATATATATATAGAGTAAAGTATACAGTGATTGACCATTTGCTGTGAATTTATTTTCTATATATTAAACTCTAAGTCAAATTAATAACTAATTTTACAACCTAATAATAAACTGATCTTTATTAACTTCATATTATATATGAATAAAATATTCAATTTACAATCCGTTTTTATTTTCCAGTCCATCAAATTGAACTTGTAAGAAAAACTGTAATACATAATTAAGAAATACTTAATAGTTCAGCTAAGCGTACATAGTCAAATAGATAAATTATATTTTTATGAAACAATTTATAATATAACTTTTTTTCATCATATATCGTTAATACAAGGTTATGAATATCTCCTACATATTATGAATTTTTTTAATTCAAGCAAAAATTACAAAAATGAAAAGGTGATCAATAATTGTAATTGAAAAAGTTCATTTTTTAGTTATTGATCATTTATTGTAATTTACATATTATTCACTAGATAATTATTCTTCATAAATAAAATTACTATTTTGAGATGTTATAATATTGTAGGTTTAATTTTTCATCAAAATGCCTAAAGTAATAATCGTAAAATACATTCAAAAGGCACTTAACAATGCCTTTTAGATGTCGTAGATTTCGTAAAGGAATGGAGCCTATGTGTGTGCTGTAAATTTTTACAAGAAAAATTCTTGTGAGATCTTCCAAAAAAATTTTTACATATGAATTTTGAACATACAAGATCGTATAAGAATATATCGCATACGATATTTGTAGATAAATCAAGAATCTTATATCCATGTTATATGAATCTTATAAGCATGTTACATGAATCTTGAGTGCAGGTTACGTAAATTTTGCGCGTATGTAACGTAAATCTTGCAAGAATATAAGAGTGTCATTATGAAAATATAGAACAAGAATACTATTGGAATTTCGTGTAATTTATTGTTCGTATCCTAGTAAATAAAATAGAATGGGATAAGCAAGAAGTTGAATGAAATTTAAAAGAATTCATTTTGGCTAAAAATTAATTCTTTTTAACAAATCAAACTAACAAAGACTCCTTACAAATCGAAAGAAATTGGAAAAGACAAGGGCATTAGGAGTCAGGCGCAGAAGATGTATGCAAATAATATACCTATAAGATATAAAACTTCTTTATTTTATTAAACGCACTTACTATGTTTCGACTCACTTTTGAGCCCTTGTAAGATACAATTAGAAAATAATAATCTTACCTTTGAATAATAGATGAAATTTAACAGTCGATCTTATTAAGTATATTGAAAGCAATATTTACAAATTGCCTATTGATGAATGGATCTCAATCTCGAACCACTCACTTCCTGTATTAAATAACTTAGCTTCTTATTCCCTACATTGTATGAAAGTAGATAGGAATTTGTTATAGCTAGCGAAAGACACTAGGATTTTTTTAAGAGATATAAATGACAGGTTATTTTTACTCGTGCAAATAGGAGTAGTGTGACATTGAATACACAGGTGTATATTTCCAAGATAAATGAGATACTTTAGGATGTGAATACTTATGAGGTCATTGAAAAGTATCCGACGAGAAGGATTGTAACGGGTTTATTGGTTAGTTGGAAGGAAGAAAAGTACGAGGTCTGTCCCAAAAGTATCCGACCTGCATTTATATCTTCGCGCCAAAGTGTTCTAGCGACCTCTACCGGGCAGGCACGTCAACAGTAGGACCTTACGAACTTATCGGTTGGTCGCCGACACTAGTAGGACGTATAGTTCATACGCAGTGTGTATTTGTTTACAGTGTCTTTTTCACGTTCATCGGATTTTTAAGTAGCTAAAAATGACCGAAAAAACAATGCTCCCGCGCATGCATCAAACCTTGTGCAGCAGTATTTATCAAAACACAGTGTTATACAGCTTCGCCAGCCTCCGTACAGTCCCGACGTAGCTTCCTGCGACTTTTGGCTATTTCCTCGATTGAAAATGCCGCTTAAAGGACACCGATTCGACGACAAGAAGACTGTTGAAATCAATGCGACGAATGCACTAAAGGCGATTCCAATAACTGACTTTCAAGACTGCTTTGGGAAGTGGAAGCATCGATATGAGCGTGTTGTTCAATCAAATGGGGACTACTTCGAAGGATGCCACCAACCGGATGACGAAGAATAAGCCAAGCGCCGAAAAATGGAGATAGGTCGGATACTTTTGGGACAGACCTCGTATATATCTAATTCCACATATAAAAGTTTGTTATATAATAATGGGATACTTCCGAGGGCCTCTTTCAAAGATAACAGGATTGTCCCTTTCGTATAATAGTAATTTCTTTGATAAATAGCTTCGTATTTGTTGGTAGTGTTTCTTCATAGTACTATCATTAAAACAGTTCTTAAGGCGGATAGTCATATAAAAAATAACTTTTAACTTGTTAAGGAACTTGATGATTGGCGGTTGAGTAATTAATTTCAGTTAATCAGTCATTGGATATTGTTAGTCTCTTCACTAACGTTCCTATTGACTATGCGATGGACTGTATCAAAGACCATTGACGGTTTATTTCTAGAGATTGTTGTTTACCTAAGGAGAAATTCATTAAAGCAAATTATTTTAAATTCTACTTTCTTTCAGTTTATTTTAAATTCTACTTTCTTTGTTTTTAGTGTTATATATAAGCAGAATTACGATACTCTTATAGACTCTTTGTTGTCTCCCGTCATCGTAGATATAATTATGCGAAAGTTGAAGAGTATAGCTTTGGCTTTGATTCGGTTTCCGATTTGTCTTTTTAATATAGATATGTTGACGATATACTCATGGCGGTGTCTGAATCTTCGGTTAGTTCCATTCTTGATATTTTTAATTCTTAGCATCCAAGGCTTCAGTTCACTATGAAAATGGGGAGTGATATTATAGATTGAATTTTTTAGATGTTACAATGATTAGGAATAATGAGGTAGAATAATGAGATAGAATTCAAGTTGGTATCACAAACCGACCTTTTCTTTTTTGACGTCCGAGGAATCGTCCATTTTGAGTTTGTACCGCAGGGAGAAACTGTCAACTCAGCCTTCTACCTGGAGGTGCTCAAGAGATTGAAACGCCGGGTCGCGCGCGTGAGGGCTGACATCAAAGACGCGATCAAGCTCCACCATGACAATGCTCCCAGCCACACGGCCTTCATCGTTGCCAACTACCTGGCCCGGAGCAACACCCCGGTGGTCCCTCAGTCCCCTTACAGTCCCGACTTGGCTCCGTGCGACTTTTTTTTGTTTCCCCGTCTGAAGAGAAAGCTGAAAGGAAAGCATTGGGAGTCCGTGGAAAACATCCAAAAGCATGTTACAACGTTCCTAAGAGATATTCCCGTCGAGGAGTTTCAGCGTGCCTTCCAGGCAGACACGTCTCCGCAAGTGTATTGATTTAGGGGGAGAGTATTTTGAAGAATTTTGAGCATTTGTACCGCTACGATCAATAAATCTATTTTTCCCAGAAAATGCGCATTACTTTTATAATGGATGTAATGCAGCCTTCGTGGTTCACTGTTCCTTTCGTTCGTGATATTACTGAGAAGTAAAGTTTGAATAGCGATCATATGAGGATATCGTTTCATAGTATCAATAAATTACGAGAATTAGGATGCATAAGGACTCTTTATCACATGACAAGAAGTCAAATGTTATTTATAAGATTTCGTGTAAGATTTGCGACGTGAGTTATGTGGGACAGACGTATAGACAACTCAAAAATTATGGAGCATAAAAACCATATCCGATGGAATATGTCTACTCGTAATGTTATAACGGAGCATCGGTTACAAGAAAGCCATGATTTCGATTGAGACAACGTTACAATATTGGACGAGGAATCTTACTACACAGGAAGAGATTGATTTCGGAGATGATATTCATCAGGAAACAGACGCACGGATTCAACTTGCAGACGGATATGGAGGGGCTTCCAAAGGCTTACCTCTCGATATAGACAAGCTATAAATGGTCGAGTTGTTGTCGCACTTAGTCAGTGTATCGTACATAGTAATGACTCTTTCTGGCGTGATTTATTATTTTCCAACTTTCATTTTCATAGAATTGATTAGCGTTTTAATGTTAAATTTTTCCATTTGTAATCTTGAATAATACTAGCTAAAACTAAAACTGACTCACTGTATCTGATACTGACTGGTCAAAATATCAAGAATCGGTTTTTGAATAATTCATAATAATGAATTATTCAATATCATAAGAAAGCATCCATGGAAGTCTCAAGAATATTATTAAATATCTCTAAGAATTATATTAAATACCTCTAAGGGGAAAGTATCATTGCTAAAGTAAACTTTCAACAAACTCAGATCTTCCCTAGCCAAGAATCTATCAAACTTGGCATTCCTAAAACGCTGCAGGGATAATAACATCATCCCAAAGTTCCTACAATTCAAGGACCACTTAGGAACTCACAAATCCAAAAATATCCTTCATAAAACCAGTCTCATCCTCATTAAAGAACGCATCCCACTTTACTAAGTCACAAATAGCCCATATCTCCCATAAAACTTTTAAACTCCACCTGTTCCTATCCGCTTACGATACGACATGACATCTGGCAAACCTTAGATTGTATTACATACGAACAAGCCATGAAGACTCTCACTCAATCTTCTGAAAACAAAAACAGAAATATACAAACCTTACCCCTCACAAAAAACTCTCAACCCTTTCTAACGTCAAAAACTTATCCAACAAAGGTCTCAAAACACTATATCTGCGCTTGCCAATGGCCCTAATTTCGCAGTGGCACTTAGAAAAGTTCTAAAAGAAGAGATTATCAGTCAAATAGAGTCTACCATTTACCGACTCCCATCAGAACAAGTAGATAATATCCGTAGACAGATAACCAACATCCTTTCTAAAGTCAAACCCCCTCCACCAGACATCATCGTGCTTCCAACCGACAAAGGCAACACGACAGTAGTCATGAATACATCAGACTACAAGACAAAGATGAAGAATCTTCTCTTGGACAAAGCGTACAAAAAGCTTGACAAAGATCCAACCAATATAATCGCACAGAACACCAAGATCCTTGTGGAGAAAAGCAACATTCTCAGTGCAACAACATTAAAACCTACAAATCCTCTGTCACCAAGATTGTACGAACTAACAAAAGTACACAAACCTAACATTTCTCTCAGATCGATTGTCAGCGCCATACACTTCCCAACATACAACTTATTCCGCTTCCTAGCACAAACACTACAACCTCTCACTGGTCCGAATCACACATAACCAATTCAACGGACATATAAAAAATTCAAAAAATCCGACTACGTCTCACAAATCTACTCGTAAGCTTCGACGTAAAATCCCTTTTCACACAAGTCCCAATAAAAGACACAATAAATGTAATAAAATCCTCACATGAAATCCCCTCCGGCCTCATCCCGCTAATAGAGCACTGCTTAACAACCACCTACTTCTCCTATAACAACCAATTTTACGAATAAACGTCAGGAGCAGTGATGGGCTCTCCTATTTTTCCTGTAATCAACATCTTATGGAGCACTTTGAGAAAGAGATCCTCAGAAAAACAAAAAAAAAACCAGAAGTTTGGCTCCGTTATGTGGACGACATATTCGTGATACGGAGACAGGGCAGAGCTGAACTCTGAAAATTCCTTATTTTCCTCAACAGACAACATCCAAATATCCTCACTATAGACATAGAGGAAAACGGAAAACTCTCTTTCTTAGACATTCTTGTCTCTAAGAAAGCCGACGCCACCCAAGTGTACAGAAAACCAACACACAGACAGATACTTACATGCCGAGTCGCACCATCACTCAGCACAAAAACAGTCAGTAATCAACTCACTTGTACATAGAGCTTTCACCATCTCTAACAAAGAACATCTACAGACAGAACTCAACTACCTAAAACTAGCCTTACATAAAAACGGACACGACAAAAAAGATATAACCAAGATAATCAAAAAATATGCAAACAAGACAACGGTCTCTGACACACAACCAGACGATAGGATCCTATCTATTCTCCCATATGTCAAAGGAACAACAAATCGGATTGACAGGATATTAAACGAACACAATATCCAAACTATCTTCAAATCACTCAAAACGATAGGATAAATCTTAAGAAATCCTAAAGGTCAAAGACTTTCACTCAGCTCCGCAGGAGTATACAAAATACTTGTTCCTGCGGACAAGTATACGTTGGAGAAATCGGGAGAATGGTCCTACGGATAAAAGAACACCAACATGATGTCAGGCTAAAACACGCCACGCAGTCGGCATTAGCAGAACACAACATCGAAACAGGACATCAAATACTATTTGATAAAGCGACCACGATAGTCAACGTTACATCATACTTTTCAAGAAAGTATAGAGAAGCTATAGAGATACAAAAACACCCTAATAATCTAAATAGAGATAATGACTACCACATAAATAAAATATGGAAGACCATTCTCCCGATTATTGAAGATCAACCAAATTCCACCACCTCTTCTTCCACTCCCCTCTTCCTCTTCCCACCTACCCCCATTCCAAGAAGCAGCGTAATATAAAAAAGGAAGGGCCTGAAGGAACAGCTCAGTATCAGATTGCTCCTTGTCCTGATGAAGTGGACTGCAAGGCTCACGAAACATTGGCATTTCAAGAATGGATCTAGACACAGAGAAAACCCGCGAAACACATAACAGTTATATAGAAAGCACCCATGGAAGTCTCGAGAATATTAATAGTAATGTTGGCGATATAGTTTGTGATTTGTGATCAGAGTGAGCGTCCTTATTTTCAGAATAATTAATTATAATCTTAAAATTTTTTGATAAATTAGTTTTTCATATTCTCTATTTCGATATTTCCATTATTTCCTTATTTTCGTTTATTTTTCTTTTTTCTTTCTCTTTTTGGGTTTAATTCTGGCATTTAAATTCTCGAGGTAGGGGAGCTCATCATGACAAGATAATTTTTATTTATAGTTTATGTTAGTTTGTGTTGTCTCTGAGGAGGATTCAAAAGTGAGCCGAAACATGTAAGCACGTTTAGTAAAATAAAGAAATTTTATGCCTTATAGGTGTTATTTGCAACGTCTTCTGCATCTGACTCATAATGTGTCCTTTTCAATTTCTTTTAATTCTTTTCATTATTATTTTATAAATTAAATAACGACTTTTCGACCTAAACCAAACTTAATTTGGGAAAGGAGCATGAAAGTTAAGTAAAACAGTAAATAAAACATCAGTTATTATAGTGAAATTATAATCAAATCATTAAGATAGTGATAATGTATGTTTCGAATTTTTATTCAGCCATTTTCAGTATTCTAACAAATTTTTTTGTTAATTTTTCTTTTTTATTTCATATATTCAATCCAGTTTCTGTTCATTTAATAATTCCATTTACTGGAATAATCGATATCTTTATTATTTTGGAGTAAAAAAATTATTTCTTAAGAGTATCTTATTAGGCTAAATTAGCAATTAAAATCTTTTCATTGCGATATAAATCGTCGTGTATGATTATCATATTTTTGGATGATCCTGTAAAAAAATTATTTTTTAAGAGTTTCTTATATGGTTAAGGCAAGATCTTTTCATTGCTATACAAAATCATTGTGTACGATTCATGCTAGATTCTTGTATCTTGGAAAATAAATTATTCTGTAACTGTGTTTCTTAAAACTGATAAGTGATTTTTCATGAAACACTTCAGAATCATATATAATTAATATCACATTCTTAGATAATCCCGTAAAGAAACTATCTTTTAAAAGTTTCTTATAAAGCTAAGGCAAGATTTTTTTCATTGCGATATAGATGTTTGTGTACGATTCATTCTAGATTCCTAAGGTCATTAAATATTATTGGTGAGATTCATGAACAAATTATATAAGATTCTTATATGATCATATACGTTCATATAGTAATCCTGATTGATCACATACAACTCTTTTAAGATCTAGTACAAAAAACTTACAAGAATTTTCAACAGGAGCTAAATGAAGCGGCACAAATATATGGCGTAGGGAAGATCGGGGTTAGTTATAGAATAGGGGTAAGTAGAATAATCGAGGCTACATTAAAAACACAACACGCAAGACATGTGTAAACGTGCAATCTGAGCACGCAGCAGCGACTGCCACTAAGTCTGCTGTAACATCTTGTTGTTGCAAACACATCTATGATAGAAGTTATACCACAACTTTAAATCGTACACCTAAGTAAATATTTTTATTCTTAAAGTTTTTGTTTTACTATTGTATATGATTATCTGAGATACTTGATTTCTACTTGGATAGTAAATGTAGTTCTTACTTAATAAAGTCCAACAGATTATTTTTGTCTCTGTTATCATATATTGTTAATATTTTTAAAAACTGAACGGATGGAGATAGTAAACTAATCACAGCATGGAACTGTATGACTCATTTAGTGACGACTCTTATAATACTTACTCAAAATTTTATTCCTTTAAAGAGATTTTCC